GCCGGCCATTGGTGGCTCATGCCTATAATCATAGCTACTCAGAGGCTGAGATCTGAGAATCACGGTTCAAAGCCAGTCCAGGCAGGAAAGTCCATGAGACTCTGATCTCCAATAGAAACCACTCAGAAAACCAGAAGTGGTGCTGTGGCTCAAGTGTTCGAGTGCTAACCTTGAGCTGAAGAGCTGAGGGACAGCACCCAGACCCAGAGTTCAAGTCCCACGACCAACAAAAAACAACAATAACAAAAAACCTGATATCACCAGGTACCAGTGGCTCAGGCCTTTAATACTGGCTACTCAGAAGGCTGCAGATCATGGTTGAAAGCCAGTCTGGGCAGGAAAGTCCTTGAGACTATGATCTCCAATTAACCACCAAAAAGCCCCAAGTGGAGCTGTGTTTCAAGTGGTAGAGCACTAGCCTTGAGCAAAAATGTTCAGGGACAGTGCCTAGGCACTAGTTCAAGCTCCAAAACTGGCACAAAAAAACAAAATAACAAACAAAACTCTAAAGAACCTTGATATCAAAACTAGATAGACAAGAAGTCAGGCACCAATAGCCCATATCTGTTATCTTAGCTACTCTGTAGGCTGAGATATATAAAGATCATGGTTCAAAGCTAGTCCACATAGATACACATCTGCAAGACTCTTCACATAACCAGTAAAAAGCTAAAGTGTAGATATACCTCAAGTGGTCGACTATGAGCCTTAAGTGAAAAAGCCTAAGTGAGAATGTGAGGCCCTGAGTTCAAAGCCCTAATACAAGCAAAAACAAACAAACAAAGCCTGGGCAACAAATGAAGTAACTACAAATGAATCTTATTTATTAACAAAGAAATATTCTAAGTCACTTGACATTTTGGTTCATTTATCTCTTGGAGATTTAGTGCATTCTGAGTATGGCATATTGAAGAAACTGAGTAACTAGTATGTGTCTTTACACTGAAAACAAAATTCTCAACTACAGTAAAAATGGCCAAGAGAAAAATGACCAATTTGATGAGATTCTCTTGGCTCTCTTCCAGTCAAAACAAACATCATTGCCTGTGCTTCCTTCTACAGGTGACAGAGATGGATAGCTCTACATCCTAGAAAGGCTGAAGAGAACTACTTGCTGAAGGCAGAGTTTAAGAATTTAATGTGGGTTGGGCTGGGAAGGTGGCTCAGTGGTACAGCACTTGCCTTGCATGCCTGAGGCCCTGGGTTCGATTCCCAGCACCACATAAGCAAAAAGAAAAAAGCCAGAAGCGGCGCTGTGGCTCAAGTGGTAGAGCGCTAGCCTTGAGCTGAAGAGCTGAGGGACAGTGCCCAGGCCCAGAGTTCAGGCCCCACAACCGGACCCCCCCCCAAAAAAGAATTTAATGTGGGGGGCTGGGAAGGTGGCTAAGTGGTAAAGCACTTGCCTTGCATGCTTGAGGCCCTGGGTTCGATTCCTCAGCACCCATAAGCAAAAAAAAAAGCCGAACATGGCACTGTGACTCAAGTGGTAGAGCACTAGCCTTGAGCTGAAGAGCTGAGGGGCAGTACCTAGGCCCAGAGTTCAGGCCCACAAAAAAAAAAAAAGAATTTAATGTGGGGCTGGGCACCAGTGGCTTATGCCTGTAATCCTAGCTACTCAGGAGGCTGAGATCTGAGGTTCTCGGTTTAAAGCCAGCCCAGGCAGGAAAGTCTGTGAGACTCTTATCTCCCATAAACCACTAGAAAACTGGAAGTGGCGCTGTGGCTCAACTGTATAGTGCTAGCCTTGAGCTGAATTGCTGAGGGACAATGCTCAGGCCCAGAGTTCAAGCCCCAGGACCAAAAAAAAAAAGCATTTAATGTGGTCAATGGGCAGCATTGACTACTTTGGAGATTCTATGAGTCATAGTTTAGGAAGATTCAACTGTTGATGGGCTAAAGCAGGAGAAAGAATGAAGTAGAGGCTAATGGTAAGATTCAATAAATGTAGTAATCAAGGTCTGATAATGAATGTAGTAGAGGATCTGGAAAGTAGAGGGAGAAATTAATGGGACTTACAAGAGAGGGGTCACTACCTTCAAGAAATGAAAAGACAGATCAAAGAAGAGATGTTATTTATAGAAAATATAACCAAGGAATGATTTGTATGCAAAATAAAAAAATTCTTCTATTTCATAAATAAAAAGACAAATAGCCAAACTTAAAAAAGATGAAGGATTTATCTAGAAATTTTCCAGAGCACATGTCCAAATGACCAATAAACTTATGAAAAATATTCAGTATCACTAGTCATTAAGAAGATGCAAATCAGCTGGTGTCAGTGGCTCACACCTGTAATCTTAGCTACTCAGAAGGCTAAGATCTGAAGACTGCTATTCGAAGCCAGCCCAGATAGAAAAGTCCCCATGAGACTTTTATCTCCAATTAAACACTCAAAAGCCAGAAGTGGTGTTGTGGCTCAAAGTGGTAGACCATTAAGTCCTGAGCAAAAGAGCTCAGGAACAGAATCCTGGCCAAGTTCAAGCCCAAAAATTGATGGAGGAGGGGGGGAAGGGGGGAGGAAGAGGAGAGGAGAAGAAGGGCAGGAGGAGTGGAGGAGGGAAGAAGAAAAGGAGGAGGGGGAGGAGGGGAAAGAGGGGGAAGAGGAGAAAGGGGGAGGAGGGAAGGAGGGGAGGAAGTGAGGAGGAAGGGAGGAGGGGGAAGGGAAGAGGAGGGGAGGAGGAAGGAAGGAGGGAAGGAGTAAGAGGAAGGGAGGGGGAGGGGAAGGAGAGGGAGGAGGGGGATGAGAAGGAAGGAGGAGGAAGAGGGGGATGGGGAGGAAGAGGGGGAGGGGGAAAGGGATGGGGAGTTGTTGAAGTTGCAAATCAACTAGGAGAAATCCTTTCTCACCTATTAGGAAGGTAAGTCAAGCAAGAGATATTAACAAGTGTAGGTGATTACATGTGGATATTAGAACCCTTCCTTTACACACCTCTGCATAGGCATGTAAAATGGTACAACTGATGTAGAGTTTACCAGTAACTCAGCAATTCTACTCCTAACATACACCTAAGAGAAAAGAACAAAAATAACAACAACAACAAAAAAAAAAACATGATGTTCACACAGCGTTAATATTCCTAAAAGGCAAAATGTAAAAACAAGCTCGCACCCTCAGTAAATGCCCTCAGCCTATGCAAAACACTTTACATAGTATATCTCATTTAATTCTACAACAAACCAATTAACAAGTTTCTTTTTTTCTTTTTTTGGCACGGGTTTTGGAGCTTGGACTCAGGGCATGAGCACTATCCCTAAGCTTTTTTGCTCAAGGCTAGCATGTTACCACTTGAGCCACAGTTCAAGTTCTGGCTTTTTGGTGATTATAATTGCAGGTAAGAGTCTCATGGACTTTCCTTCCCAGACTGTCTTTGAACTGTAATCATCAGATCTCAACTTCCTAAGTGCTAGGATTATAGGCATGAGCCACTGGGGCTTGGCTCTGGCTTCTTTTAAGCAGATGAAGTACAACTTATTGAAGAGTACCTGAACTAGACCTCTAACATCTCTTCTTTGAGGAGTTAGTAACAGGTACTTAAAAGCTGTGGCTGCTTAAAACACTGACTCCCTACTTAGGCTCACAAATTAAATAAAAGCAGGATGAAGTCTAAGCATCTCTGCTTCCATTGTGTATCAATATCCTTTTATATGAGCCATTCTTTTCTGCAGTCATTTCCCAAGAAGGAATGGACAGAATTGGACAGAAGACCACAGGAGACTGGACTTGCGAATTGTCAATGACTCTTATTGTAAAAAGTCCTCACCTAAGCAATCCTGAGGCAATAGATGCCTCATCACATGCCAATCACATGCCACCATCTCTGACCACATACCTGGGTCTGGGGCTGTTTTAAGTGTACCTCTTTCTCCCATCCTCAATTCTCTGTCTCCTTAAACCTATAGCTCATATCTATATTCCCAACATAGCTGAATGGCCTGAAGTGTGGTCTTCACACACCATGTAATAAATCTCCTTTTTCAGCTCTTTACCATGTCCCTTTATTTGCTTGTAGAGGCTGGTGGCCAAACTTGACATGTGAAACTCCTGGAGTTTGGACCTGTGGCCTAAAACTCCAATCTCAAATTTAATAGTGGACACTATTAATTGGCTAAGGAACTGTACATCAAATTTTATACACTATGACTAAACAACCAAAAAGCATAGAGGATTGCAACAAAACAGGGAAGTAGACCCACCAGCTATTTGTACTGAAGCCCTCCAGAGATTTCTTTAATCAAAGTATATGGTAATTTGCATGCTTACTGTAGGAAGCACATTAAAACAGAGTAAATGTTGCTTTGGTAAATTTAAAGTCTGGCACAAATGTACAAAAATACTGATGCCCTATGTGTAACAAAATTCTTTACATGAGTCAAATGCTTTACAGCCCACAAAGCACATTATATAAACTCAGATTCTGTAACCTGTTATCTTCAAACTCATTTTAAAGTCAACAAAAGCACAGATTAAAAGACCTGTTCAAACTTACATGTCTTAGAAGGGTACATCAAGATTTAAATAGAACTATAAATCTATTATTTTTCAAAGCTACAAAAAAAGCAACAGAACTATTCTCTGAAATTACATGCTCAGTGAAATTACATGCTAGTGACTGGCCTTAAAATGTGTAATATCTCCTCTCAGAAGAGAAGAATAATTTATTCCATGGCCACTAAAAACCTATACTCCTAGCTGGCACCGGTGGCTGATGCCTATAATACTATTTGGAGGTTGAGATCTGTAGTTTGAAGCCAGCCCAGGCAAGAAAAGTCCATGAGAATTTTATCTCCAACTAATCAGCAAGAAGCCAGAAATGAAGAATCAACCTGAGTGAAGAAGCTAAGGAATAGTTCCTTGGCCCTGAGTTCAAGCCCCACACACACAAAAATCTTCACTATCTTTGCTCTAAAAGTGTACAAATTACCCTGCTATTTTTGCTCACAGAGTAATGATTTCAGTAATAGCTTTAAAAAATTGTATTATTAGCAAGTCAATAGCTTACCTAATGCAAACTTGAATTCCTCAGATATTTATGCCATGACCATCAAAAAGTAGTATGTATAAATGAACGAAGATGGATTCATTTTTCAGTTTTGCTTCAAATTAAATAACATTGATTTCTGAAAGAAAAAAAAAAGCATGCTGAAAGTGTAAGAGATGCTGGTAACATTGGCTATGTACTTGTGCCTCCCTAACAAACATTCTGTTTGAGTAACAGACAGGAAACACATCAAAACTGGTTTTAGCCAAGCATAGTGGTGCATACCTGTAACCTCAGCATTGAGGAGGTAGACACAGAATTTCAAATTTGAAGTGAACTTGGGCTTCATAGTAAGTTTGAGGCCAGCCTGGGCTATAGAGCAACCTCAAGTCTCAAAAAAGTAAAAAAATAGCCCAGTGCTGATGGCACATGCCTAGATTCCTATCTACTCCGGAGGCTGAGGATCAGTGTTCCAAGCCAGCCCAGGCAAATGCATTTTATTTTCAATTAACCAGAGAAAAAAGCTGGACTGCAAATGTGGCTGAAATGATAGAGCTGAGGCCCTGATTTCAAGCTCTAGTACCAGAACAACAACAACAAGAAAAAAAAACAACACAAACCACTCAAAACAATGGTGTTTTGGGTCATACAAACTTTCATTCTGAAACTTTTGAGTTTCTTTGTCTTTGTCTTTGAATTTTATTTATCAATTTTTGAGACAAGGTAACACCATTCCCAGGCTAGTCTGTAACTACAGAGACACTCCTGCCTTGGCCATTCTATCGTGGACTACTGGGACTGGCTCTATGTATTATTCTTTTAAATAAACTTTTTATTTTGTAATAATTTTACATTACAAAGACAGAGTTCACTTATAGTTCTCACCATCTTCCTTCAATGTTAACCTTTTCCATTATCTCATGTTTGTAAAACTTGGATACTAACACTGTCAATGCCTGTATACTTTTGCAGAATAAAAACATCCTTCCAGACTAGGAGTGTAGCCGAATGTACAGGGCTTATGATGCACAAAGCCTAAGAAAGATCTCCAGAACCACAAAACAAAACAAAATATACCCTTTGAAACCAGGTGGTACATGCCTGTAATCCCAGTACTCTGGAGGCTGAGGCAGGAGGATCTTGAGTTTGACACCAACCTACAAATCCTTGAAGGATATAACTTGTGGATGACTCAGTGGATTCAATCCACAACACCAAAACACCATTTTTAAATAAAACATGCTGTGGAAAATGCTTTTGTTTTCTTGACTGTCAATTATCAGTCTCCTATCTTTCCCTAATTGGAACATTTTAGCTTAAGAACTCAGTAAGTTCTCTTTTAAGATTTTTTTAAAAGCAAGCCACCTAGTTTATGAAGTTTTATTCAGAACTTCCTCCAATTTTAAGCAACAACTGAGAACATACTTAGAACTTCTAGGGCACTTCTTGGCCCACTAAGTAAGTTCTTTGAGATCCAAGAGAAGACATTATAGTAGATCCCAACCTCCACCTAAAAGTCATGCTTCCATTATACTTCAATAAAGCCAAGGAAATGTTTGTTTGTTTTTTTGTCGGTCGTGGGGCTTGAACTCTGGGCCTGGGCGCTGTCCCTCAGCTCTTCAGCTCAAGGCGAGCGCTCTACCACTTGAGCTACAGTGCCACTTCCGGTTTTCTGGTGGTTTATTGGAGATAGGAGTCTCACGGTCTCTCCTGCCTGGGCTGGCTTTGAACCGTGATCCTCAGATCTCAGCCTCCTAAGTAGCTAGGATTACAGGCGTGAGCCACCAGCGCCCGGCTAGGAAATGTTTTAACTATAGCCTCATGCAAGAGAATTCAGGATAAGAAACTCATTTCATTAAAATTCAAAACCTCACAGCAACACATAAAAGGAATTCTTTCCCTCAATAGTTACATATAAAGACAAAAATCTCTCTACTGTAACTAAAAAGTAAAAAGGAAAAGTTCATACAAATGAGTATAGGGCACTGATTCCTCATTTTAAGACACACATTTTAAAATGCATGAAATCAGGGCTGGGAAGGTGGCTCAGTGGTAGAGTGCTTGCCCTGCATGCATGAGGCCCTGGGTTCGATTCCTCAGCACCACATAAGCAAAAAGAAAAAAGCCGGAAGTGGCGCTGTGGCTCAAGTGGTAGAGTGCTAGTCTTGAGCTGAAGAGCTGAGGGACAGTGCCCAGGCCCAGAGTTCAGGCCCTACGACCAGACCCAAAAATAAATAAATAAATAAAATGCATGAAATCAGGACATGATCGCAGGTGGCACATTTAGCCGTAGTCACTGCCTGAGATAATGGCTGGAGAGCCTGTCAATGTTTCTGATGGCACCACTTGGAAAAACCATAGACTACTATAGACTGAAAAATATTCAGAAAAGTAGAAGGTAAAGGGGAGGGGGGACAAATGAATGAAGAAAGAAAGTGAAGAGAAGAATGAAGTCATAATAGTCAAGGCATATCCAATGAAACTAGGTAACCCTTTATTATAACTACTTAAATAAAAATACAATTTAGAAAAGATTAAGTTCTTGAAAAAATTAATAAGTATGTTCTTTTATTTTTACTCTTCTTGTATATAGTGCTTTTTAAAATGTCTAAGTCACTGTTTTCAATAAGGATAAAATAGGAAGGCCAAATGAAAACATTATAACTGCCAGTGTTTGTCTCTTTTTAGTGACAATAATGGATTGATGAAGATTCATTAAAATATGGTAATAATTCAGTAATAAACTACTTTGAAGACAAATTCAAGACTTTTACAGGGAAATGAATAAAAGGGCATTCCCCAGTAAGAAACAACCCTCACTTTGGTACTGTGATAATGATATTTTTTTCCAACCTTGTAAAGCTTTCTGCATCAGAATCTTTCAAGTTTCCTCCTCAGGCAGATTTTTGTACAGATTCTGGTTACTTCATTTCTGATGTTTCCAACAAGTATTTGTCTTTGTGTCCAGCTTATTTCTCTCCAATATATGTTGGGGAAGCAGGGTCTTCTTTATTTTTATCTCTAATTAGTAGGTTTCTCATAATTTAACTGACATAATCTCCTAGCTAAGCATAAAGCTCTTCAAGAAATTCAGCTACTATCTTAAGGGTCCTGAAAGGCAAAAGATCTCCACCTGACCCTTAGACCCTTTAGAAATGCATTAGCTGTGACTCAAAAGTCAGGCTCCTGACAATCCTGGAAACTATCTGGCACATGAGATATGGAGAGCTGTGGAGTCCCACAAAACAACAACAACAACACAGGGTTTAAGACCAAGATTCATTAAGCCTGATTAAGCTTCTTTGGCCCTGAGATGGGCCTTCTGTCTGCTACCCAAGCGCTGTTGCATCCTGACACTTGGTAAGGCTGGGCGACACCTGTCAGAGTTGAGACCAGACTGCAGTCTATAGTCACTGAGAATGCCACCAGTGTGGGTTGTTTCACGAGGTCATGAGTCACCTTCCATTGCCCAGAGATCCAGGCAGGCCTGCTCCACCCGCCTAGACAAACACAGTTGGGGGGGGGGGGGAGGAGGAGAGACAAACAAGACAGATCCAAAATTGGTAGAGAAGGGGGCATCAGATGACCAAAAAAGTGGATTTGACTTTCAGGTAATTAGTGAAAGGAACAAATGAGTGGCAGACAAGGGGTCAAGAGCCACAGAAAGGCAAGGTGGAGACAGAAATAAAGGCAGAGGCCCAGACACAGAGACGTTTCGAGAGGCAAAGCAGCGAGCAATACCAGGTGGACGGGGGCCGAACTGGTACAAAAAAAGACAGGGGACACAGCAGGTGAGAGGAGTCAACAGAGATGAAACCGAGGAAAACAGACGACCAAAGTCCGGGTGCAGCCTTTCCACAGGCCTGGGTTCGTCAGCACTCACCCACGGCAGCCTCGAACTCGAGGCCGCTCGAAGGCCAGCGGGCATACCGGGGCAGGATCTCCAAGCGCTCCGGCCCAGCGTACCCGGCGCGGCAGGGTGACCTTGGCAAGAGGCTGCCCGAGAGGCCCACGGTGTCGCGCTCTCCACGCCGGAACGGTTGAAGACGGACTGGAGTAGGACATGGGACCCCAGAACTGCGCCCGCCCGCCCCTCAGCAGCCCGGCGGACCCGTTGGCCTGGCGGAGCGCTCGGGCGCTCCGGGGCCTGCGGAGAACACGCTAAAGCCTCCCGGCGGATTTCCCTCCTCTCATTGCTGCTCCATCCCGCACACAGCGTTTTCCCTATCCCGCCATTACCTGCCAAGAGCTCAGCGATCACATCCCGAGCCCTTAAAGAGCGGCCTCCAACACCCGGCCTACTCAAGCCGTCTCCGCCGCGACAACCACCCCCAGAGCCTCACGCCCCCGGAAACGCTTCCAGGTCCCGCCCCCTCGAAACTGTCAGTACTTCCGGCGGGGGGGGAGCATAAGCGAGAGAGCTGAGTGCACTGGCCGGAACCTGCTCGGGGCGGGGCATCCAGGGAGCAGATTAATGAAGGCACGCGCCTGCGCAGTTCTGTCCCGAGAAGGATAGGGTTTTGACCCTCAGGACACTAATAGAAATTGGGGCGCAACCGGTGTCTCACGCCTGTAATCCTAGCTATTCAGGAGTCTGAGATCTGAGGTTCATGGTTCAAAGCCAGCCTGAGCAAGAAAGTCCAGAGACTCTTATCTCCAATAAAAGACCAGAAAACCGGAAGTGGCACGGTGGCTCAAGTGCTAGAGCACTAATCCTGAGCTGAATAGCTGAGGGACAGCGCCCAGGCCCAGAGTTCAAGTCTCATGACAGACAAAAAGTAAAAAATAAACAATTGTGGCGCCAGTAACAAATTCGAGACCTCGTCGAACCTTAACCAATTTCAGCATGCCTAACAGATTGTTTAAATCCATAGAGACTACCCCTCTATCTGGCACTTAGTGGGTGATCACAGAGCTGTAAATGGCATAGAAGCCTAGTGGCTTCTATGTATCTGCTATGTGTGAAGCAAGGGGACTATCAATAGGAATGAAGGGTGTCTTTCAGTCTCTAATAGTGATATGGTCCACCCTCCCAAAAAACCTCCTGAATTCACCTATCCATTTTATCCCTCTGAATTCCCAAGTACTCAAATCAATTGATGTAGGACAGATGTAAAGTCTACAATAATGCAACTTGAGTCTCCTACCATATGATATGTTTAGGAAACAAGGCCTCTTTTTTTGTGTCTAAGCTGATGCAAAAGTGAAATTCAGGCAGAAGCAGGAATTTGGATGCAGTGACTTCTGGATTGAGGGTGGATAGTCAGGCCTGTTGGGCCAGACACACCTGTTGGGTATTGTCTCTGTCCTGGCACAAAGCCCACAATTACCCAGCTGTGTGCCTGCGTGGATGTTTGTTGTTTGGACTTCAGATCCCAAGTGACTTCAGAAAAGAGGACGAAAACTTTCTAAGACAATTCTGCAGAAAAATTCTAAAACTGACTTCTAACACTCATTCAGAATTCTTAAAGCAAATACTGCCAAGAAGCTGTGGCTTACATCCTGTAATCATACAAACACAAGAGGTTGAGATCTCAGGATCCTGGGTGGAGACCACACCGGGTGAGGAAAGTCTGGGTGATACTTATATCCAAGTAACCAGAAAAGGAAGTGAAGGAACCAGAAGTAGGAAGTGAAGCCTGACTCCAGGCTTAGAGCAAACCTAGAACAAAGATGGATTGACCAAACAAACAAACAAACAAACAAAAAAGAATAATGTTAAGCCAGACATTGTTAAAGCAAAGGACATATAGAGGTACAAGACATGACAAGCTAGTGCAGCTTTATTAAAATTGGGTAAATAGACAATAAAGGAAAAGACATTGCCACAAGTACTATGGCAGGCCACATCAATGTTCTTAACAGTTCACGGTTCAAAGACAGCCTGGGCAAAAAAGTTCCTGAGATTCTTATCTCCAATTAACCACCAGAAAACTGGAAGTGGCTCTGTGGCTCAAGTGGTAGGGTCCTAGCCTTGAGTGTAAGAGCTGAGGGACAGTACCCAGGACCAGAGTTCAAACCCAAGGACCAAAAACAACAAAAATCTCCAGGGAGGCTGTGGAGATGCAGGGCTATTATATCCATTCATCACATTTCCTACCATTCCCTACCACCTCCCTCGCAATCAAGAATTTCTGCCTTGGTGCCAGTAAGCAGCCATTTCTCACTGGTTAGCAGAGGAAATTGACCTGAGGAATGCAGGGCTTCAGCAGGAATTTCTGATGATCATGGCTGCTAATCCAGAAATATCAGGAATAGATTTAAGAAAAGCAACAAGGAATACATGACCCAGACCCCAAGGCAACTAACACTGAGAAGTTATTAGCACCTTGAGTCTGAGAGCTGCAGGCTGTGACTTAAAGCTGAGTCTCCTCCACTGCTGAGCCAGCATCTTGTATACTGATCCCCAAAATGAAGCACCAGTAATTCAAACCTGTAATTGAACCTGGTATCCCAGCCTTCCCGCTGGGAAGATCGACATTCACAGCCAGCCCAGGAAGACAAGTCCACAAGACTCAACTATCCAACAGATTGCCCAGAAAAAAGCCAGGAGTGGCACATTGACTCAAGTGGTAGAGCCCTAGCTAGCCAGGAATGTAAAGAGGCTGAGGACAGTGTCCAGCAATCAGGACCTGGGTTCATACCCAGGATCCCCGACCCAACCACATACGTGAACAAAGGAGCCATCATGCCCACTCACCCACAATACCCCCCCCCACACACACACTTTTTTTTTTAAAGGAAGCTACCCGACCAAGTAATCCAGAATACAGTGGCATCTTCTGGGCTTCTACTTTAATCACAGAAATTACAATTAGCACAAGTTGTAGAGGTTAGCACATGAGCTTCCCTGAAGAGCTACTATTCCACCTACCACCCTAATGGAACAAAGTTCCTGAAAAATCAGTACGATGGAAAATGACCTGGATATGGAAAGGACACCACAGTTAGCTTCCACAAGCCTGGTACCCTGCCTGCTGGAGGGCCAATGGGAAGCTGGGAGGAGAGCTGCTGGTCCTCATGGATAGTGCCATCAAGGACAGGAGCGCACCCTGCTCTAAGGTGCCTCTGAGGTTTGGGAGATACATGTGAGCAGGTGACTGCCTTTGAGTAGGCATTCTGAAGAGGAAAAATGGATGACTTCCAGGAGGGCAATTCATCCCGCCACGTCCCAGATCTCCTCTCTATTAATATAGGAAAAACATAAGGTCTTCAGCAATGCCACCCAAGTCTCCTATTTTGGGACTTGTTGTAGACAACAGGGCCCCTTTTGGATTCAGAGCTGATGCCTACCCCAAATCCAGGCAGCTGCCAGAATTTGGGCAGAGTGGCTTCTGGATTGAGGGTGGGTAGTCAAGCCTGTGGGGACAGCCAAACCTGTTTGTCCAGCCACACCTGTTAGATGAGCCACACCTATTGGGCATTGTCTCTGTCCTGGCACAAAGCCCATAACTGCACAGCTGTTTGCCTGAACTTCAGAATCCAGAAAAGACATGGGAAACTTTCCCAGAGAATTCTACAGAAAAATTCTAAAACTGACTTCTAAAACCCAATTCAAAACTCAAGGCAGCAAATTCTGTCAGCTGACTGGGACTCACACCCTGTAATCCTTTCTACTCTGGAGGCTGAGATCTAAGGATCCTGGGTGGAGGCCAGACAGGGTGGGGAAAGTCTGAGAGATGCTTACCTGCAAGTAATCGGCAAAGAGCTGGAAGTGAAGCAGTAGCTCAAGGGTTAGTTAGCCCATATAGAACAAACCTAGTTCAAAGATGGATTGACTAAAACAAAGCACACACCAATTAAGCCAGAATTGAATAAAGCACAAAGAAAAATGGAAGTAGAAAAAATGACAAGCTAGTTCAACTTTATTAGAATTGGGTAAAGACATCACCACAAATACTGTGATGGGCCACCTCAGTGTTGCTAAGAACTTGC